TGTTTCTGGGCTGTACTACGGGTACAAACAACAAATAACATACACATATATGGTATCGCTGCGATCGTCAAAAGCTGGAGAATTTATTTTGGGTTGTTCTATGGAGGTAGGTTATGGTCGTAACAAGAAACACACAGCTAAATTAAAAAAAAACTATTTTTTTTTACTATTTTTGGCCAGTTTTCCTTTGAGAATAAAAAAAAAAATTAGGAGCTAGCCATTACTATTTACCACCAAATGAAAGCCCAATTTGTCCTGAAAAAAACGCGGTATAATTCACCTGGATGTACAAAGTAGTTGTGATGATATGTACAGTTTTACTAACACATGTCAACATTGCAGAATTGTGCTTAGGCATTTAGATTTGTTTTAGGCGTGAAGGGGTTAAGTTACATAGTTAGTCTGGTTGAAAAAAAACAAAAGTCCATCCAGTTCAACCATAGAAAAAAAAAAAAAAAAGTTATAATTCTACACCTACAGTTGATTCAGAGGAAGGCAAAAAAACCCAGCAAAGCATGATCCAATTTGCTCCTGCAGGGAAAAAATTCCTTCCTGATCCTCCGAGAGGCAATCGAATACTCCCTGGATCAACTTTACCTATAAATGTTATATCCAGTTATATTCTGTGTATCTAGGAAAGAATCCAGGACTTTTTTAAAGCAATCTACTGAGCTTGCCAGAACCAACGCTTGAGGGAGTCTATTCCACATTCTCACAGCTCTCACTGTGAAGAAACCTTTCCATGTTTGGAGATTACATTTCTTTTCCTCCAGACGTAAAGAATGCTCCCTTGTCCTCTGTGATGACCTCAGGATTTTTACATAAGCAATAACTTTAATAAAATAATAACCCCTCCCGGTCATTTAAAGGGTTTCTGATGCTGGGAGGCAGGGCGGGGTTTATGATCATGTGACCGCCATGATTGGTAGTCACAGTGGTCACATGATTGGAAAGCTCCTGATCTCAAATAGTGATCGGGAGCTTTCCGTAATTGTTCCAGGCGCGCTCAGGGTGTGCGCTCTCAGCACAGCTTTCTTTACATTTTGGTACACATATATGTGGCCTCTCGGCATTAAGGCCCACCTGCCTAGAGCCTACATGTATGCATATTCTTGGCACAAAGGTGTTAAATAAGGTTCAAAGTTAAAGTATGTGTCTTGACATTACCAGTGCCAGTCGTTGTTGGCTTTTTAGCAACTAATGACGCATCCCTGTCAAACCCATTCGGTTGTCAGTTGAATGGAAACACCAGAATGTCTTCTGTCTGCACTGACCAGGCATGGTCAAATTTGGTCAATTACTTCGGCCACCATTCATGTCCCTTTGTTTACAAACTTTCTCTCATTCAGGAATCACTCATTTGGATCTTATCAGTGGTTGGTGGGTCAAGAAGAATTGTTCATGATGATTGACCAAGATATTCCTTGCTAGATGCTGTTATTGATATTGGATTTACATTGTGAACTTGCGAAGTATGTTTTTTAGTTTTCCTTTTTTTCTTCAATCAGTAGGGGTACTCCTTACTCATTCACGTGGAAGAAGGTATCTGTGGTTATTTTAAAAGGTGGTTTCCAGAGCCTGATAAGCCCCCCACGTTCAGACCCCTTTAACTTCTGGGCCAGAATTGTGTGGAAGAGGCCCTTGTCTTCATCAACCTAGGCACACGGTGCTTTGCCAAGAGACTATCCTCTGGTATGGTTTGGGCACATGCTGCATGCTCACATGAGCGTTTTGGATGGATTTTCAGAGGCCCCATGTCTTTGTTTTTTGAGTGGTGGACCCCCTCAAAGTCCATTACAGACCTGAAGGATCTATTATAAATGTTTGGAGAAGAGGACCACACTTTTTTATTATTTTTTGCATGGGGTTTTCTTTTATAATGTATAACAGAACCTCATCAAGCATAAGGAGTTTTGGCATGGATTTCAGGGGGGACCCCACAATATCATTTTTTTTTAGGATGTACTACACCAAAAGTTAAATTTTTAGAAAGTAAAAAATAACAGTTAGGGTTATTTACTTTCCCTGCTGGCTTCTTGTTTATTGCTGAAAAATGGCAAGGGTTTTGTATGTTTTTTTTTCGGGGGGAGGGGGTCCTCGTGCAAAGAAAAAAAGATAGCAGGAACATATACATTCTCAGCTATTTAAAATGTTACTAAACCCACAACAGTAAAGTCAGTCTGTAGATGCAGTAATACTTGCTTGTTATACTCATTGTGGAACCTAAGGGGTTAATCCTCTGCATTGTGTAAAAAGGCTGCTTGATCCTTTCTTCTCTGTTCCTCCCCTTTTTCAAGCGACCACCACTTATCTTCAGACTGAACCGCGTGCACATGCTTACTTTGGTATATATTGCTAGAGAGGTTTTTTTTTTCTTCTTGGGAGAGTACATGTGACCAACACAGGGCCAATCAGCACTGTCCAGACAGAGGTCAGGGGTTCTGAATCCTCCTAGAGCAGAAAGAAAACTCCTCCTACAAGCTTTAACCAGTGCTTTTCTGGATACTGCTAGAAGTCACAAGACTGCTCTAACTGCTGATGGGAAAAGGTATCTAGCAGTTTATATTTACTAAAATAATTATGGTGGCTGAAACCACAGGGGGGCATAATATACATAAGAATGCCCCCTGCTATGTACATATCAATGCTGCTGGCCCGCCTCTATTTACATGTGAATAATGACAGGGTCTGCATGTGAATCATGACAATAGGGCAGAGCTGGGCAGCATAATTGACAGCACTTCACACTGAGATATCTGGCACAGTTCGGGAAGAAGACTTCAAGGGACAATGGAATGTAAACTGGTACAGTTGGAAAGTATGGGCCAACTGCTTTGGGCCCCACAACAATGACTGGGCCCAGGGCAGCTTCCCCTTTTGCCCCTCCTTAAAGATGGCTTCGGCTAAACAAATGAATAAGCACTGAACATTTTTTTTAATAGGTTTTTCCTTGTTTATGTTATAACATTTTGCAAATAAATAATTGTTCTTCATAACTTTAGGCCAAAATGTATTCTGCTACATTTTTTTTGGTGAAAATTACCCAAATCAGGGTTTATTTTTTAGTCTACATCAAAGTTATAGAGTCCACAAGCTATGGTATATATCTGAATCAACCAATCCTGATGTACTGGAGGCCGATCTCATTTCTTGAGAAAATGTAAGGACAGTACAAATACCCCCCCAAATGGCACCTTTTTGGAAAGTAGACAGTGCAAGGAATTTAGTAAGAGGCATGGCAAGTTTTTGGATTTTGTAATTTTTTTCATCAGAATTTTTTGGAAAATAAAGAAATACAATTTTTTTTTTTTGCATATTGTCGCCAGTGCAGTACAACATTATCATATATAACTAGTGTGGTGGTGACCGGGGACACTGTAACGTAAACATGTAATAACTTTAATTTTATATTTTAAATATTTTTTTCTTTATTTTACTACATTTGTTTTCTTTTTTTATGATTTTTTTTTAACAAACTGTGACCAAAGCAATACAATGTTATTATAGTAACATTGTACTACTCTGGGGAAGTGATCAGGATTTTTTATTAACACATTTATACATTTATTACCAAATTTCTTTGCTATAAGCAAACATTTTATTGAATGAAATCGATTCATTCAGTAAATATTGTTGTGTTTGTCCACAGCCAGTCACATAGTACCGATGGGCTGTGATTGGCCCTGTCTGTACCATATGATCACTGTGAGCAATCGCAGATAGAAACACAATTGTAAACAATTAATGGCATGAAAGGAAGCCATTCATTGTATACAATTGATATGTGATCTGCTGTGATTGGTCACAGCGATTACATGGTACCGGCAGCGGGCTGGTACAGTGATCTATCATTGGCTGTGTCCAGTTGACAAAGTGAGTGACAGATCGCGCCCAGAACGCTGTGTGCAAAGTGAGTTCCAGAAGAGCTTCATATGACGTCCACGAGGAATGACGAAAGTCCTGGCAGGCCGTCATATTACAATTGGCCAGGCGGGAACTGGTTAAATTACAATTTCAATGTGTTATACTGTGTAGCAATCAGCATCAGTAGCTCAAGAGCAGTTCCATTCAACTCTTGGACTTAAAGTTTCTTAGCCCACCATCACCCACCTACAGTATATTCACCTTGCCCACACTCTACCTGACACTCGCATAACCTGCAACCAATGAGGCCAGATTTTGCTTGGACAAAGTTAAAGGTAATTCTAGGATTGTTCTAAAACAGTGGTTTAACCACTTCCAGTTTGGACACTTTCACCCCCTTCCAGTCCGGACACTTTCACCCCCTTCCAGTCTGGACACTTTCACCCCCTTCCAGTCCGGACACTTTCACCCCCTTCCAGTTTGGACACTTTCACCCCCTTCCAGTCCGGACACTTTCACCCCCTTCCAGTCTGGACACTTTCACCCCCTTCCAGTCCGGACACTTTCCCCCCCTTCCAGTTTGGACACTTTCACCCCCTTCCAGTCCGGACACTTTTCACCCCCTTCCAGTCTGGACACTTTCACCCCCTTCCAGTCCGGACACTTTCCCCCCCTTCCAGTCCGGACACTTTCCCCCCCTTCCAGTCCGGACACTTTCACCCCCTTCCAGTCTGGACACTTTCACCCCCTTCCAGTCCGGACAGTTTAACCCCCTTCCAGTCCGGACACTTTCACACCCTCTTCCAGTCCGGACACTTTCACCCCCTTCCAGTCCGGACACTTTCACCCCCTTCCAGTCCGGACACTTTCACCCCCTTACTGTCCAGGCCAACTTTCAGCTTTCAGCACTGTCACACATTTGAATGACAATTGCGCGGTCATGCAACACTGTACCCATATGAATTTTTTAGCATTTTTTTGAGACAGATAAAGCTTTATTTTGATGGTATTTATTCACCACTACGGTTTTTTTTTTTTTGCTATATAAATGAAAATGTCCACCAATTTTGAAAAAAAGGGTTTTTCTTATAAAATTTTTGCAAATAAATAATCTGTCTTCATAAATCTTGGCCCAAATTTATTCACTTATCTTTTTAGTAAAAAAAAAAAAAACAAATTAGTTTATAACCAAAAATTCTAATTTCTCAAAAAATTATTTTACATTTTTTTTATATTACAATTTATGTTTTATTTTTAACATACCGTCACCCTAGCAGTACAGTGTCACCATAGTGACACTGTACTACTTGTGGGGGGTGATGAAGATTTTTTTTTTTTTTTGGTACACTGATTGCTTTTACACCCATAAAGGTTGGACAAACAATCATTTCTTCTTCTCTCTGGCTGCATTCTTGCAGCCATTGAGAAATACTGTGAGAGCTGTGATTGGTCACAGCTTGTCACATGGTACAAGGCTGTTGTGAATAGCCTTGTACCATGTGACCTCTGTGATCATTCAAGTAGTAAGCAATGATGTCAGTAGTGGCATCTTGCTTACTACTATTCATGTGATCACTGATTGGCCAATCAGTGATCACATGATCGGGACCTCACACAGAGGTTCTGTACAGTGATCGGGGAGTGCACACAGGCTAAAATGGCGGGCGCTGTTTATGAATGGCAACCGACTCCTGCACTGCTCCCGTCCGGCCCATGTATATAAACGGCAGGATGGGAGCAGTGCAGGAGCGGGTTGCCATTTTAGCCTGTGTGCGCTCCCCGCTCACTGTATGGAACCTCTGTGTAAGTGGTTAACCACTTCCCAACCGGCCGTTGCATATAAACGGCCGGACGGTGGCAGTGCAGGGTCGGGTGGCCGTTTATGAACGGCCTCCCCGCACCCTGCTTGTGCGCGCTCCCTGGGAGCGCGCAGCACCGCGATCCAGTGCCCGCTGTGTCCTCCGGACACAGTGAAACACCGATCGTCGGACGGGACCTCTGTACGAGGTCCCGATCATGTGATCACTGATTGGCCAATCAGTGATCACATGCAAAGTAGTAAGCAAGATGTCACTTGTGACATCATTGCTTACTACGTGTGAAATCTGTGAATGATCACAGAGGTCACATGGTACAAGGCTATTCACAACAGCCTTGTACCATGTGACAAGCTGTGACCAATCACAGCTCACTCAGTACTTCTCAATGAGTGCAAGAATGCAGACAGAGAGAAAGAGAAATGATTGCTTTTACATCCTATATGGGTGTAAAAGCAATCAGTGTAAAAAAAAAAAAAATCTTCATCACCCCCCACAAGTAGTACAGTGTCACCATGGTGACACTGTACTGCTAGGGTGACAGTATGTAAAAAAAATAAATAAATAAAAAATAATAATATATAAAAAAATAAAATAAAAATGTAAAAAAAAATGTTTAAAAATTATAATTTTTGGTTATAAACTAATTTTTTTTTTTTTTACTAAAAAGATAACGGAATAAATTTTGGCCAAGATTTATGATGAAATATTATTTATTTGCAAAATTGTATAAAAAAACACCTTTGTTCAAAATTTGTGGACTTTTTCATTTACATAGCAAAAAAAATAAAAATTCCAGCGGTGAATAAATACCACCAAAATAAAGCTTTATCTGTCTCAAAAAAATGGTAAAAAAATGTATTTGGGTACAGTGTTGCATGACTGTGCAATTGTCATTCAAAGTGTGATAGCGCTGAAAGCTGAAAATTGCCCTGGTCAGGAAGGGGGTGAAAGTGTCCGGAGTGGAAGTGGTTAAGAGTGGTTACTTTATTTTTCATTATGAAGAATGCCAAGTAAGAACTAAAATATACCCAATGGTGAAGAGGAACATCTGTTACCCAAGAAGGGTTGGAACATGCCCGGTAACTACGGCTGGGAGATATCACCATCGAGCCCTTCAAGAAATATGCAAAACCAGAAGATCCCACCTATAATTGAAACATCACTTTTGTGTTGACTGGCTCTTTAACATTGAGATTGTAAAGCTTTTTTTTTTTTTTTTTTAATAATGCATTTCATCTTTTAACTGATGCATGCACCCCACACTTAAAAAAAAAGCAAAAAAAAAAACACTCATATTCTTCTTTTTCTCCAGGGGTCTTCTGGCTGCCCAATCATGTTAATAGTCCTTCCTCTCCATCTGTAAGGGCAGTAGGAGGTGGTATTTACTGATGTACATAACAATGTAATGACTTATGAGCGTCATTCAGTCTGAGCCCAGTCTAAATGAGAATCCAGCCCCAGAGAGCAGGTCCATGACAGCTCAGAGGATGTGGATTGAAGGACACTGGCTGCCATTCAGTCAGAAGACTGAGGACATTTAGTGGCGGAGAAGAGTTAATACTCTGGACAGAACGTGAATATTTCAGCAAGAGCTGCCTTTTCCTGTATTTACATTTAATGATCTAATAAAGCCTAAATAAACCCTCAGTTCAAATCGACAACATTAATTTCAGGTATTCAATGTCTTACAGTTCCTTTATTTTTAACCACTTGACTTTTGAAACTTTTTGCTCATTCATGATAGGGCAATTTTTTGCTATTCAGCAGTGCGCTACTTTAATTGGCAATTGTACAGTCATGCAACACTGTACACAAATTACATGTATATTATTCTTTTGGTGGTATTTGATCACCACTGTGTTTTTTTATTTTTTATAATATAAAATAAAAAGACTGAGGATTAAAAAAAAATTCTAATTTCTGTTATAAAACATATCCATAAAAAAAATAAAAAATCTAACTTCTTTATAAATTTAGGCCAAAATGTATTCTGCTACATGTCTTTGGTTAAACAAAAAAGGTCCCAGTAAATGTATATTAATTGGTTTCTGTGACAGTTATAGTGTCTACAAACTCTGGTATATAGTACATTGGAATTTACAGTTATGATGCTATACTAGTAATTGAGATGATCAGTGACTTATAGTGGGACTGTGATAGTGTGGTGGGCAATCTGGTGCTAGCTGATGCAGGCTGGGAGGTACATTAACCTCCCTGGCGGTATTCCCGAGTGTAGCTCGGGGTAAAGTTTCAGTACCAAAAGCGGAAACCCCGAGCTATACTCGGGAATACCATGCGGCGTTGCTCAGAGATTCCCTGCAGCGCTTACCTTGTCCTTCGCTCCCGCAATGTCCCCCCTGCAGCGTCCCCGGCCACCTCCTCCGGCCGATGCCGGCATCCGGCTTCCGTGTTCCGCTCCCTGCGAGTGTCGGGACGTATGGGATGTACGGGGGCTGGAACCGGTGGCAAATTTAAAATTTTTTAGAAACTGTCATTTTCTAATAAACAAATTTGACATAGTATAACATTACTGTTCCAAACCATTTCACATACATTTTGTCCCGAGTGCTTTGTCCGGCGCCCTGCCTGCATTTTAACTGTTCTTTCTGCCTGGAAACTGAGAAAAGTCCATGGCGTCCAAAAAGCGTCCCTTTATGTCAAAAGCGGTTTTAGACCGGCTAGAGAACAGCGATAGTAAATCAGAACCACTTGCAGAATTGAGTGATAATGATTTGTGAGGAAATTCCTCATCAGACACTGAAAACGATTTTGCGACTTTGCTCAGTGATGTGCGAACTTGGCGCTCTATTTCAAATCTCAGTGTTTTTGGTTTGATTATATTATTGCATTAAATTTATTATTATTATATTATTATTTTTATGATTATTTATTAAATTATAATTTATGATTTTGTGTTTCAAGTTTTATCATCCCCGGGATGTTTACTAGACTCTTGTTCGGACAGATTTCAGTGAGTTATTCCTACAAATTACAGGCCTACAATAAAAAAAATACATTTTTCCATGCAAAAAAATGTACCGCTTTCAGCACAGAAATACTGACATAATCAGACCGCTAGGGAGGTTAACTGACTTTTTTTCCAGCTGAAGAAAATTTGCCTTTCTTTCCTCTCCTCACCATCTTGAAGAGGGAAGTTATATCTTCACAGTAAGTCAGCATGTTCCTTTGTAACCACTTTTATATGTCGATTTTAGCTGGGTTTTTCAGCTGAAGAAAATTTGCATTTCTCTCTTTTCTTGACCATCTTGAAAAGGGAGGCTATTCTCCACAGCAAGTCAGCATATTCCTTTGTAACTGTCTTTATATGGTGGTTTTAGTTGTTTGCACAATATGTTGATCAAATAACTCTTAAAATTTTTGGAATAAAATGTATTTGTTTATATAGATTTGTGTATGTTGCCTAAAAAGTCCCAATACATCTATGGGGCAAATGTCTGATTCATTAACTGACACTGACATCAATATTGACACTAATACAGTGATCAGTGATCATAACGTACACTGGCACAATGCTAATGACACTGGCTGGGAAGGAGTTAATATCTAGGGGAAATCAAAGGGTTAACTGTGTGCCAAACAATGCTAATGACACTGGCTGGGAAGGAGTTAATATCTAGGAAATCAAAGGGTTAATTGTGTGCCAAACTGTGTGGAATGTGTTCTGCTTTTATTTTAAAATTTGGCTATTTTTCTCCCTGCAAGGAGAAGAAACAACCAGATTGCTGTTCCCTGTATGCAGAGTTGTGTGTGGTTTTGGAAAACATAGAACTCTGTGTGGGATTGGGCACAGTCGATCAGCTGACTCCAGCCAAAATCATTGACTGAAATCATCTGCCAAGCTCGTGCTGTGTTTATTCACAGCACGGGTCAGCAGGGGGTGCATGTGAGGAAAATGCCGGTCACTTACATGTACATGATTGTGCCAGCACTTTCTGCCCACCTGCAGTATATTTACTGTGAGAGGTTGGCAGGTGGTTAAGCAGTCAAAACCAGACAAAAAAGCATGAGCAAACGAATGCTGTAACTCCTGCGCTGGACGATGAGCTCCACAAGGTCAGTATCTCCACATGGAGTACTTTTTGGGAATGCAAGCCTTGGTGCCCTCAACGGACCAGGGAAATCCAAAGGAACTGTGTGCAAAGAAACAAACAGGGCGCACGGGTCTAGTGCATTACCTTCTAAAAATGAGATTTATTGAATAAAAAGTAGTATACTCACAAAAGAATAAAATCAAAGGCACATCACAAAAATGACAACATGGTCCAATCTCCCTAGATGGTGGCTGTTAGGGGAACTGTAGGCCTCCAAATGCTGATGCGTTTTGAGGCAGAACCTCTTCCACAGATCCAAGAAGCTTTGAGGAAGAGGTTCTGCCTCGAAACGCATCAGCATTTGGAGGCAGGGGCGGACTGATCATTTGAGAACTCAGGCACTGCCCGAGGGCCCGGGGTCAGTAGGGGGCCCCATGAAATGCCTCTGGTACCTTTTTTTTTAATAGGCTTTTTTTTGAGTGTGGGCAAATACACAGGGGCTCCATGATCCCCTATTGCCCGGGGGGCCCATGAGCTGTCAGTCTGCCCCTGTTTGAAGGCCTACAGTCCCCCAACAGCCACCATCTAAGGAGATTGGTCCATTCTGGCTTTTTTGTGATGTGCCTTTGATTTTATTCTATTGTGAGTATACTTCTTTTTATTCAATAAATCTCATTTTTAGAAGGTAATGCACTAGGCCCGTGCACCCTCTATTTGTTTCTTTGCACACAAAACTAGACAAAAGCCTGACTGCTGCTAGAAGTTGCTGAGAAGGACCTGTTGTGGATTTCTTCTGAAGTACAGGTACAGCTACCTGTCTTTAGTTAGTCAGAGGGGTCTAATTTAAAGATGCATACTGCACTATGGGAGATCAGAAAGACACCAAATGTGTCTGGAACAGGGGCGGACTGACTATTTGGAAACTCGGGCACTACCCGAGGGCCCGGGGTCAGTAGGGGGCCCCATGAGATGCCCTGGTACCTTTTTCATAGGCTTTTTTGAGTAATGGGCAAGGACACAAGGGCCCTATGATCCCCTATTGCCCGGGGGCCCCATGAGTTGTCAGTCCGCCCCTGGTCTGGAAATGTCTAATTTTTTCAGATGATTGGCAGGAGCATTCATAATAGAAAAGATACAAGTCATGTAGTCTTTGGTCATTGGGCAGATATTGGTGATGATGATCAGATGTTGGTGGCAATGGATG